GTGGAGGGGGGGGCGAGGGAGGGGGGAGGGGGGGAGGGGGAGGAGGGGGGGGGGGGCCGTTCCGCAGCCCCGCCCCGGGGAGGACGAAGACGTGCGGGACGTGGCCCCCGGCATCGCGCGGGAAGGCCACATAAGGGGTCTCGTAGCGCGTCCGTCGTCGCGTGGGCTGCATCGGTGGGGCTTTTAGTATAGGGATGAGGATGGGGTCGCGATGGATCGATGGAGGGTTAGGGGGGGGTCTCACTCGTTGGGTGTCGGGGTGCTGAGGGCGCTTCGGTCGGATTGGGGTGGGGTGGGATTCGTTTGGGGGGGTTTCCGTTCACTCGCGTGGGTTCGGTGGGTGGGGCATGAGGTACGCATACCCGGTTCGCCTCGATGGGTGGGGACTGAGGGAAAGGCTGGGATGGAATGCTATCCAAGAAGAAGAAGAGGAAAAAGAAAAATCAAAAAACACCTATGAGGGCCATTCAGGAGGGTGGAGGACAACCTCGTGCAGTTTGAATCGATTGGTGGGGTGTTTTACTGCCGGCACGGTCGCTTGTTTAGCGGCATTCCTTTTTTTAATCTCGTTTTTTTTTTAGCGAACCGATGCCCATACACACCTCTGCTCATACGCGAGATGCCTTTGTGTCATTCGATTCTCACCCATGTGAGATTGCTTTCATGTATTCAATAGCATCAAACCGCGGCATGTCGAGGGGATACTTTCGCTGAAGAGATCGAAGATGATATCCAAGGCATTTCTCACGGCGTATCATACGCCATAGCGCTTCGTCCGTTTCGTGGGTGTAGCCCAATACGTGCAGGAGCGCGTGGACGAGGGCGGCTTCTAAATATAATTCCAATGGAAGGTTCTTTTGAGGTCGACGCATGGTGCGATGCCATATATACTCAACGCAAAAGTAAATCGTCCCGAGATCGACAAGCTCATCGCGGATGGCGCGCCGCGCCTGCAGCGGATCGGGCTTCATTGCGTGCGTGTAAAGCAACGCCGGGGAGGGCGCTTGAGCGTCGTCGTTGCCTGTGCACGCGCGTTTGGTACTAGAAAAGAGGATTTCGTTGATCGTTTGATTGGTTTCGTTGACCTCGGAAAAGGTGAGAGCGTCCGTCGGCTTGCAAAGCCCTCGCGTGAGGTGGTTAATGGATTGCATCTTCTGTGAGGATACAAGAATTAAGTCGAGGTGAGCATCCCAGGGTGCATTCTCCAGCCAAAGCACCGTCATCACTCGACTGCGAATCCCTTTGAGCAAGGATGGAGTGGCACCTTGGATGAGCACATTCGGAAATAAATTCTTGTAGAGCATTTACGCATTTGTCGACCAAGTCGCGACGATTGGGATGTGTGCTCGTCGTATGATCTTTTTTCCTTTTCTTTTTGCACACGTATCTTGGGAACCGCACATAAACCGGACTATGAATCGTGAGGGAGGAATAAAATGGAACATATCGGGTGAAATACCAAAAAGAACTCCCATACCGTAAAAAATGATAGAAATGTATACAAATAACGTCAAATAAAAAGTCCATTATGGAGCTTTATCCACAATCACAATGGGACTTCGGTTTTATCATGGAAAAGCAACACCATTCTGGAACACGGACTCATAGCGAGGTTAATACTAATACTAATAATAATAACTTCCCAAGAGTGCATTAGCATTAGATAGATTCGTTTTGTACAACCAATAGACCATGAATTACGAGCAACGTTGACGTTGAGATTTCATCCAGCAGCTCTGGGTCTATCATCATGAAAGGCGGGTTTCTGCGATCCAAAAGCTTCGCATCGGAGAAGGGATCAACATTCCACACTAACCGAGAGAATTTTTCCGAGGGACCAGAAGAAGTACTGGCGGTAGCGGGTTTCATAAAGGATTGCGCAAGCTTTTTCGGAGATGATACCTTTGCTATGCCCTCTACTGGCAGCACGCGCGGACCGATTTGCTTGATCATCTCCACAAGGAGGTCGTGCACCCGTTCACGGTAGAAATCCTCCGACAGGATACCCCTATGTAGACGTCGTACAAAGTACACAAAACACATAACATCGGCGTTTAGTTGACGAAGATGTAGTAACGTGATCGTCTGGTTCTCCTTAACCACCCACATAATAGCGTGTATGCATGACTGGATCAGCGTGCATAGCATCAAGTCTATCGCCCCTTCATTCGCACCGCATCGTAGCGAGCGAACCCGTATCTGACGGCAAACATCAAAAAAGGTCCAAATACTTGGGTGCACCCCTTTCACCAGCGGAACAACGCGCTCGATATCCCACGGCAAACTCCAATAGACTGGAAAAAGCACGCAATTTGTGAGGTTCGCCACATACCTCTGAACCAGATCCCCTTGCGCCGCAGATATCGCATTGACAATCGCAGGAAAATCAAGCGAGAGCCTCTCCCGCACGTAGTTCAACGGACGTAGCGAATCTTTTACGTTTTCCGCAGCGGAAACGAGCCGGAGTGGCGGAAGCACCGTCTGAAGTTCCTCCGTGCAGCATTGCAGCTCTTCTACGCACTCCCGTGCTACCACCTCCACGAACTGTTCACTACTTTGAATAAAAACATCAAGAGGGAAGGATTGCATAGAATTACTGGTCGAAGAGGAATCCGATCCTCTCGGGTGGTGAGCGATGCATTCCAAAAGAACGTGCTTGACAACCTCGAAAGAATCGACAACGTGGGTTAGGATGCCTCGTTGAAATCTACTAAACAAGTAGGTTAGATATCGCATCCATAGCGATAGCCACCGCTGTTGTGTTTGATGTTTATCTTCTACAGGCAATTCCAAAGCTATTCGCCTAATGCGAGAGAGAAAAGAAACCTCCATATCGCGCAGCTTGGCAACGACACGATCATCCTGCTTGATCAATCCCTCCTCCAGCATCTTAAGGCAGACATCAACGCGATCGCAATCGTTCAGCTCAGGGCTCGCGGGTGGATGAGAGCTCGCCAAGGCATATTTTTCCTGAATACGCTGAAGCTCTTCCTGCAAAAAGCAAGGGGGTGAGGAGGAGAGGCACGGCATGGCTGACTAGGCCGATGAAAGGTTAGCAACAATGCCTCTCTCTTTCCAAAGTAAACGTTAAAAAATACCCGACGACAACGGAAACAACATAACTTTCGACTCAGAAGCAACTCACCCTCGAATAAGGAATTAAAAAAAACCAAAGTTAAGGAGGAACATCCTGAAGAAGAGTGGTATCGTAGGAAACAAAGCATAGCAGAAGGCATCCGCCCGTTCAAAAGGAGGGGGAAGTGCATGAAACCCCTATTTATCATAAAGGAATATTTTGTTCTCCGTTTTTTCTCTTGTGAAGAGGACTTGGCAAGGATTTAAAAAAAGATGATGAACTCGATTTGCATTAAGGGTAAAACACATAGATGCATCCCTACAAATTACAAAACCGGCACCATTACAAGTTCTTCTTACCCTTTCCCATGATGAACATCTTATCAGTTGTGTCTGAGGCCCCAAGCTGAGATCGCAGCCTTCGTTCTGTTTCTACGTTCAACCTAATTTCCTTCAACGTGGTTTTCATTTCCTCTATCGAAGCATCTATTTCCATCACCGACGCTACGTTTTTCCGAACAATCGAACGAAGCTCTTCTTCTGCATTGTACACACGCTCCTCCAGCTGCGAGCTTTCTTTGGTGTGAAGGCAAATTTCATATGAAAGTCCTTGGAGGTTTAAGTCGCTCTTCAAGGCAGTCTCCTGTGCATCAAGCACCTTGCTCATGATAAGATTGAGCGTTTTCATAGGAGCAAAGGGGTCGGAGTCGTGGAGTTGGCGGATGGTTCGTTGTTGTTGTGGTGATGAATTTAGCTGAAAATGTGGCTCTGCTTCGGAAGTCCAGGGGGAAGAGGGGGATGCCAAGTTGGTTGCGTTACTCCCTACCCTTCTTATGTGCAGCGACCCGCTCTGATTGTTACAAATGGAGTTGCTAATCTCATTTTCGTAAACCTGACGCATTGCATCGAGTTCATTTTTGATGACCGTTGCGTATTGCGTATGAGAGGCCCGGAGCTTGGCATCGTACTTTGCGGAAACGCTCTTCTTCTGCCAAAACGGATCCTTCCCGTTGTTGTTGTCGTTTTCGTCCGAGAAGACGGGATCCTCGCGGCTTGGATAGCGTACGCGGGTGGTACTCCCCGAGGCGAAGTCAAAAACCATCACCACCTGATGCACAAAGGCATCACTGTAGTAATCCCATATTTGTTGCGTGAGCAGGTTGATGGAAAAGAAGTGCTGTTTGGCGATGCAATGCTCCTTCGCGTGCATCGCCTGATATCGACTGCACCCGACGTATCCACATATCAGGCAAATCCACGGATCCCCGGATTGCTTGCAGTCCTGGCATTTTACCTGTTTTTGCGCGATGGTGCTCGTCTGGGAGTGGTGTAAAATCTGGCAAACGACGCAGCGCGAGGCCGCCAAACACGTGCAGCGCTGCCCACTCAACGCACAGCAGCAGGTGACGGCATCGGGTGGAAACCCCGTCAACGACGCCTCCAGGCGATCCGCACAGAGCACGCAGGTGGGGATGAAGTAATAATCCTTTCGATACCACGAAAGACTCGTATCCGACGGCGGGGGCTCGCAAGGGTAGCACTGGATGTAGGTCGGGCTCAGCCGCATTTGGGGGGTTTGCCGTGAAACCTCCCCGCATGCCTCGATCGCCGCCAACGCCCCTTCCACGGAGCCGCACCGCAGGATCAACAGGGCCGCCCCGGAGTGAACGCAGAGCCCGGCATCCTGGATGGTGTATTCCTCCTCACCACCGGTGCCTAACATTTCGCAGAGGAAGTTGGAGATGGTCTCGGGGGCGCCCTCCGCGAGCTTTCCCCGCTCACACGCGTCGGCGGCGGCGGGGAAGACGAGCACGAAGTGTTTGGTCGGGATGAACGGGACGAAGAACTGGCCTTTGTATTGCAGCCGCCGCATAAGACGAATCACCCCCACCCGGAAGAGAATCGGCTGCGAGGCGAACCCCGCTCGCACCGCGGCCGGACTGTCGAGGCGGACGCTGAGCTTCTCAGGCAACTCCTCCTCAACGAGGTAGCGCAGCATGTGCTGGGGATTGAGAAAAGGAGTAGTCAAAGCAGGTAAAACTAAAAATAAGAATGGGAGAGGAAAAAGGATTGTATATATATATGTGTGTGTATATATATTTATATGCGCGTGAAGATAGTGAATGAAGAGTATTACGTATGTCTTAAAGTCTTTGCTTGAAGTGTGAGGTTACTTCTTTTTTTTTTTGCAACTATGAAAAGATAAAAGCTTTTATTGCTCAGTATATAATTCAAAACCCTTGTTTGTCAGAAAGTCTCCGTAGGCAGCTGTTGAAATCCATAATATGGGTATAGCGAGGGGAAGGGGGAGAAATAAAACTTATTGTATACTTCACTTGATGGAATCACACCATAAGCTTCAGGATGGTAGTTTTTTAAATATATATATTTTTGAATTAGAGCATAAGACACTCTTGCCCGATGCAGATTTTTTTTTTGTCAAACCGAGAGTGAAATGGAGAGGTCCATATTTCTCCCATACGCTCTGCCGACTAGTACTTCGTCCGAAGGTTCAGCATGGCAGGGCGTTTGGGGCGAAGGGCGGGGTTGGTTTCACCCGGCAAAGGATCCCCCCCGTCGTTACCCACCTCGTAAAACACGCCGTGATCTGAACTTCTCGTGCGCGTGGGCGGCTCTTCCCTTTCAGCTTTCAGCGATATACTCGCGCAGACCTCGCAGCCGCCGCCGCGCACCACGCGTTTTTCAACGCTCATTTCGTACGAATGGCCGCAGGCGGAGCACTTCCACCACACCGGCATCACGTACCCAATACCAACGATCTCGGGATAAAGATGCATCGGATTCTTTTCATAATTCCACTCCGCGGCGATGTCTGGGGCCGCCGTGCACAGACGTGTCGGAAGATGAAAACGCTTGCCCATGAACATCTCAACACGCTTGCGGTTGGAAATCGAAATGTAGGATGCCTTAAACCGCACAGAAGCGAGCACCGCAATGCCCGCGGTGCAACCAAGAATGTATTTATTTCTCAGCATCCCATCAGCGCAAAGTGTGCCTGCAACCAACGACCGGTAAAGCTAACTTGAAAATGTTGTCAACGCTAGGCTTTGTGGACCTGTGCTGTGATTTGGGGTGAAGCTAATTTTCTATACGTTTTGTATTTTAAGATAGGGAGTTTTTGCACTTTTCCAGAGCCAATACATATACAAAATGCAGACCAAGGGAAGGGGAAAGCCCCATCCAAGACATTTAATACCAACTATCCAGAAATCGATATATGGGAAAAGATCGCCGTATGCGGGAGTCTATTCTTCTACTCTTTATGCAAAATATTCATTCTTTTTCACCGATGTACACCCAACAGGGGTCTGAAACCGGGAAAATTATGCAAATACGTATGCATGTTAACTAAGTCCGCACCTTTTGAGCACACTGCATAATCTCATCAACACTTTCATCGTCGTCGCTAATCTCGACAATGTCTAAACTCTCTTTTGAATTCATGCAATTCTCCTTAGCATCCCTAGTGGAAATATCCCCCCCGTTGTGGGGATGTTTTTGCGACTTCAGCTCCTCCTTCGGGGATGCTATCGTTTCAAAAGCGATGTGTTCATTCAAGATACGTGGACGACTCATGCAAGTTGCCTTCCTGACGAGCTTTGAACATTGCTCCTTAAAAGTTGTGACGAGCGGCTTTAGCACCGAAAAATGGCTAAAAAGGGTTTCTTGTTTTACTTTACTATCCTTGCCTACCTTTAACTTCGTTAGGTATTGATGCGTTGGTATCAAATTTGTTGATGGATGCTCAACCGCACTACCGTTTGGGCGGAAAAAGCGAGAAATCGGCTGGGTATTGGAAAAGCGCGTCGAAAGACGCGGCGCATTTTCCACAAACAACGATTCGTGTGCACGGTATTGCCTAAGGGAGACCGTTGGAATCACCCGGCGAGGGTTGACAAGCTTCACGAAGCTCAATAGCTCAGAAAAGCTGCAGTGCTCACTATAAGGCATTTTCAGCACCCACACATGATCCTCATGAACGCGATGGAGGCGACATTTTTTATTCCATCCGCTGGGGTCGAGCGCCAGGACCATGTTATATGAAGTTAGATCTATTCCAAGGCCTTCGCCGAGGCCTAGCAGACTGTTACTAGACATTTTTTTATCGATTTTCGAGCTTCTTTTGCTTTTCATCTCACTGGAACGGCGTTGTTTAATCGGTCGTCCACAAGCGCGTGCTAGCGCCTGGTAAGAAACGGAGCCGAACGGCACGAGGAAAATGGAGAGGAAATAGCGAACCTCCGATCTGCCAGTGGGGTTGTTGCCATGATTGTTCCCTGGTGGGGGGCTTTTCGTCGGAAGTCGGATCTCGTAGTCCGATGGCCGGACGAGAACGAGCTCCTCCTCAGGTTCCGAATCCTCAGGCCCATCTGGAAGCGAGGATCCACCTATTGGCGATCCATCCGAGGTTGTTTCACATGTTTCAGAGGATGAGCTCGTGCCGTGTAGGTTCACAAAGCGCTCTTCGTGATATGCCATCGCCGTCAATGCGGAGTATTTGCGCTCGGTCGCATAAATCGGTACAAACGGCCTTGCTTGCCCTTCCTCTGTTGAAGCTTCTAATAGGGGAAAGTGCTCTTGTAGGGCAAATGCAACTCGCTCCTTGCCAATGGAATAGGTTCCAACCAGTACCGCACAGTGAACCTCATCCAAGTTCGTATTACTCTCGTTCAGCTGCGCTGAACTGCTGCACACGGCCGCCGCGTTCAAACGATTTGCTTTCTGCAGAAGTAGTTCTTGTAATGCTTCCACCGCGTGCTGGGTTACACTATACTGGCTAGGGAAGTTGAAGGAGGGATCACAGAACGTATTGTCAAGGAATAGCGTCTCCACATTCCCCCGGACGGCCTGAAGATACGCGTCGTCCTCAATGAATTGCTCGTAGAACGGCAGCTTTACGCTGATTTGCTTCGATAGGGGATTCGGGGTGGACTCCATAGAGGCCTTGGACGATGGAAAAGAACATAAGGAAGGGGCTGCCGCTGCTCGCCACGCGGCCTCGGAACCGTTAAAACGGAAATCCCCTGTGTGAATAATTGTGCCGAAGCGGTGAGATTTGAACACAAACATCACCGCCCCAGGGCAATGATTGGCTGGGATCAGAAATACCGTGAAGACCTCGGAATTGGGGCGCCCACCCGGATAACCATCTGCGTTGGCATCGTATTCGCCAAGGTAATCTCCATTGGAAAGCAAAAACACATGCTCTTTTCCGATGTCCAACACACACAGCTGTGAAGCGGGAACACCGAATTTCAGCTGTAGTAGCGCGATTGTTGGGCGGCTGCCAAAAATCAATCCGTGTTTCCACCCGCGGACGATTCCTGTGTAATGATCAGAGTGGAAATGACTAAGAAAGTAGAGGATTTTGACTTGGGTTTGATCTTGATCAGTTGCATTTCCGTCATTGCTATAGTGATCCTCGTCCTCCAAGATGCATACCTCGTCATTTAGGTTGGACGACCATGTATTTTGAAGCCATTTTTTATGTCGCCCGGCATACTGGAAGCCGTCGACAAGTACGCAAAGCGGTTTTTCACAGAATATTTGTCGTGTTCGCAAATAACCTTGAAGGAAGTCGTCAGAGCCATCTGTTGATACATTTTTCATTGACGTCTACGACGCTATCACCAACGGTCAATAGAGAAGACCTAGAAAAATAAAAAGTGGTGAGAGAAGCGCGCACAATGCTATTAATGGTTCCAATAATAACACCTATAGATGTAGGATCATTTGTTAATTCACATTGCATCCGCCAAGGATCGTGTATTTGTATTCAGACACGGACGAGCGAAAACCCAAGCTAAGGAATAAAAGCCAAAGGTAAGTTCTCATTGAATAGAAGCCCTCAAGACCACCCTAGTTTCATCCCCGCCGTGCTTGTTTGAAACAAAAAACACAATGACAGCAATTGTAAAATTCATCCTATTTCCATAGCTAATATAGAAACAACAATCATGCATTTGATACAGGCATTGTTTGTCGAGCTACCTGCTTCCTCGTAGAGCACAGAAGTAGGATAGTAGCGCGCGCAGCTCAAGGGAAATCGCCATATCACGCCGGTTTTGATTGAGCTCCCCCAGAATCGACTCAATGGCGACTTGCAAGGTGTCATCGGTGTGGTCTAGGTTACCGTAGCGCGCTCGCAGCGCGGGGTCGTGGATATCGGGAAATGAAATCGCCATCGATGACCTCACCACATTTAAAGAGGGCGGCACCACGCTACTGCTCGCGTCTGAAGCGTTATGGCAGGAGGTGGTTAGCAGCGTGTACTGCGATCGACCCCCACGGTTGGGTTTTGTCGACGGCGGCGCTCCCTCCTCTTCCGCCACGGCGAAACCGTCTTTGAACCCTCGCCAGGAGGGGCCCGCCTGAGGGGCTTCGGAGCCCCTTTTCTCTCCCACGTGGAGCTTTAGCCCGATGAAGCTATTCTCGCGTGAGTTCGAGTACGGTTTCGTAACGTTGTAGACGTGGGTGTTGTTCTGGTAGGGCTGCTCGTGGAGGTAGGGGGACCAGGAAGGGCCGTCGTGGGGCTCAGGGTCGTGATAGAAGGGCGCGATTCCGTTTCGCTGCTGCTGATAGGCGGAAGTGCTGAACGACGTGGATCGCGTTTCCTCGCTGTGACCGGGGAGGGTATCCTCTTTTCGGGTGAGGCTGCCGTGCTCCGGGGGCTGGGAGACTTCCAAAAAGGAATTCGCATGCCAGCCTTGCCAAGGAATCTCCTCCTCCTCTTGCGGGACGACATACCACTGAAGGTCGGGGTCTAAGGGAGTGGTGAGTTTGGGAGGTTTGGGGTCGATCGCTTGCGGAGGGTTCACCCGTGAGGCGATGTCGGGAAGCTCGAGTGGTTGCATGACTTCACGACTCTGTGAGTTTGCTTCTTCCTCGGTGGCGCAGGAGATGCGTCCTACCGATTGGTTCGAACCCCAGGTTTTCCCAAAGTACACCGCGCCGCTGCTAGCCTCGTCATCTGCCTCCGTTTCCTTGTCTCCTTCACAATTGCCTAACCTGGGCGCCTGGATCGGTGTTGATGAAGTGCAATGCCGAACACCATCCAAGTTGTTCCTGTTGACGACCTCCTCCTCTTCCAGAAAAGATTCTTCCTCGCTTTCTTCTTCTTCTTCAAACGTTGGCCTCGTTTCAACCATAGTATCCTGGATGATTCGCAGAAGCGAACTTATCTGAATCGTTTTACTCTTCAACTCGGATTCCGCAATACTGGGTTTGTACAGCTGCGTTTCTAACTGATGGATGTTGCGTCCGACAATCATCTGGTATCGAATAAAGAGGGCGTGCCGAGACAGCTCCTCTGCGGTCGGGCGCTGCTGTGGGAAGAATGCCAGGCAGCTTTTTATCAAACTTCTCCACAGTAAAGTTTCCTCTGGAAGTGTCGGCAACGTCCACCGCTGCTCCATAAGCTTCTCGAGCTGAGACGGACGACTCATACTGCGCAAGAGGTAGGTCTTTGCATTGCCCTCAGGCATGTGCTGTCTAATATCTTCCTCGCTTGGCGTGCCCACAATCGAGAGAATGATCTCGAGCTGCGAGCTAGCCATCACACCGTTCCATACGCCCTGGCTATCAAGCGCCGTGGGCATCTTAAAAAGGGTCTCACCGGTGCACATTTCATATAAAATGCACCCCAGCGACCAGATATCCATGCTCGGCTGGCTGAGAATCGCACAGGTGATGATTTCTGGTGGGCGATAGTTCCGCGTGCAGACGTAGAAGGTGTCGCTACTCTGCATGTTACGCGCAAGCCCAAAATCAGCGATACACAGAGACGAGTAAAAGGCATTTTCCGTGTTCAAACGCACAAGCACGTTGTCTGGTTTCAGGTCTCTGTGAACAATCCCACACTTATGCACCCAATCCAGTCCAAAAACAAGTTGAAATGCAAAAACCGCTGCCACCTGCTTTAAAAAGCCCTCGCTTAGTCTGTGTTGCCTTTGACCCGATCCAGAGCTCAGTAAATTTATAAAGTAGAAAAGATCCCCCTTCATGAGGGGCAACACAATATGCAAACTGAAGCCTTCATCCTTCCTTATCGTTGAGATCTCTTTGGCGAGGTAATCATGGTGCATTATCGCCTTCTCATTCTCACTTAACCCTTCATAAAGTGGGCCCGTAACATCAAGGCTCGGGGCGTATGGTTCAGGATTGCTGACCTGTGAAGTGACGCCGCCTCGACATCGCGTTACGAACATAGCAATGAAGTCGATGACGTGTGGATGGGCATTGTGCAAAAACCTCATGATATCGACCTCACGAATCATGCGCTTCGATTCATGCTGAACAAAGTATGGGGGGATGGTTTTAATGGCAACTGTATTGCCTGTGACGAGATCAAGGAACTCTTCAACCATCCCAAAGCCACCTCTACCGATTTCCCCTATCCGTTGATAGCGTCCAACTAAAAGGTTAAGCATTATGTCAATGTATTCTCGCGGAGGAGGGGGGAGGGGATATATATTACTACGCTATATACACCTCTTCGGGGTGTTGAGGTAAAGGCTCGTAAAGCTATTAACGTTTGAATCCAAGCATACAACAAAGTCGGATCACAACGCTCTTCTTTATTTTTACCTCAGAGTACTGAACGACAACAATGAAGCACTGAATCAACCGACCGTCGACGAAAGGAAACGGGGGGATATTATAATGACCGAAGTACCGGAGACTCGAACAATGCAAAATATATAATTTGAGCAAATCCAAGCGTCGTATAACTCGGCTGAAAGGAACGACCGTCTAAGCCAACCTTTTTGAATAAAATCGCTTCTTCCGTAAATATAACACGCCAACCCCAAGGAGAAAAGTACATTTGAGAAATAGCTCAGCACGATGAAAGGTAGAACATACATCTAGGAAAATTATTGAATGCCAACGTTGGCTTCTTAATATATATATATATATATATATGATTTTGAATGAATGGAATACATTAGAGCTCAATGTCTCTTTGCAGTCCAAGTATGGATGTGTCTAAATAACCACAATTCGTGAAACTCATTCGTGGGCTGCAAAGAGGTCGGGCATTTTCCTCTTTTTCGCTTTAGCATTAATGTATACCTCTATTTCTTACAAGATAATGGTGATAATTTATTAATCATATTCATCTTCCCTCTTTCCTCCATCTGCACATCCCTTTTCTTTTTTATAATCTAACCACTACCTCCGACGTATGCCCTATGTTTGCGCGCTGCAGTATCTGTTCCACATGTTTACGTTCAGCTAGTTGACCGTAAGCGACGCGCATCGCGCGAATAGAGGTGAATAGAGTACTTGCAGTCTCTTGAAGTAGTAGGCTGGGATGCAGGTAACCTGCCTCATTCAACTCTTCCAGAAATCCGAATGCCGTCTGCATGAGCTCCAAACCCTCCGTCTTGTTGTCGCTGTTAAGAAGGTTCAAAGTTACATCCTCGACAAATACCTGAAGCAGCCACATAACGGCGGATAAACACTGCCGCGAACGGTGAACGACGGCCCCGCCATGACGAATCGCGCGTTGCGTCAAAGTGACGAGCTTGGTCATCAATCCTATCTCATTCTGCGAAAGTTGGAAAAGGAGGGTCCGATTCCCATCGCCTGCTTTAAAAGTCGCTCGCGCGGCTTCAAGAGCGCTGACCGACTTCGCGTGCTCCTTCGAAAGAGCTCTCGCCTCACTAAACACATACCAAAAGACGGCTTCACTCCATTCCTGTGCGGAAAGGGGCCCGGATACCGGTTCCACCGGCACCTTGGCCTCTGAGCACCCCCCACCTTCTATCAGGGTAAACCGTTTCCCCCCGGCGCCGATGCTGCTGCTACTGCATGGTTGGCCATTTTTGGTTGGATCCTCAAGGGCGGGCATCACCCGCTGCATCAGAATACGACTGACGTCCGTGATCGCGTTCAGCTCCGGCTGTGGAGTGGTCAACCAAAAGCCCACGCAGGCCTCTAACCCCTTAACCAGGACCTTCATATAATCCTCCGTGGTGTAGGCGTGCATTGCCTCCCATAGAATCTGTTCCGCCGTTTTGTTATGGGTAAGCAGCTCGTCTCCACCAATCTGCTGATCGAGCAGCATCTGGACGGCAGTCCGTGTGGCAGGGTTCGGATCCAATTCCACAAACATGCGAACTAAGCGGGCCTCCTGCTCCTCAATCTGCTCCCGCGACATCTCCTCGTGCTCAAATTCGGAATCCCGCACGGCGCGCACGAACGCGGCGTACACCTGCGCGCGATGCTGTGGATTGCGCAAGCGCCTTGCCATGGCCACCATTGCGCGGAGACCATCCTCGAAGGGATACAGCGGAAGCAGCGCGAGGCTCATGGAGTACTGCGCCATCGAAAACGACAGCGAGTCCCCTGCGTGGGCTTGCACGTCATAGAAGCTGATTTGCTCCAAGTAGGCCGTGTCGAGGACGAGCAAGAGATGCGTAATCAAACGCGTCGCCTCGCGATTCCCGACCTCGGGGCGGATATCAAACCAATAGTGCTCATCATAGCCCCCGCCCAGCGATAGCATCTGCAGAATAAAACGCAGCTCTAGCTGCTCCTCGAGCTTGACGCGAGATAGAAAGTTGTGCGCCTTCACCCGTTGCTGAAGCCCCACCACGAGCTTCCGAGTGAAGGACTCCACCCAATCCTCCTCACACCCAACCTGTTGCTCGATGTACGCCGCGTACGGCTGCTCCACCGGCACGTTCGCGTTAATCAGCGTCTTCGTGAAGGCCACCACGAGGGAGCAACGGAGGAAACACCAAAGGGTATCCCGCCAGCTGTCATTCCCCGCAAAAGCCGGCTCGAGGACCTCCAGATGGCCGGAAAGAAGGGCGCCGATGACGGCGTCGAGATCCCCCCCTCGCGGGTCGCGGGAGTCCGCGAAGAACTGGGCAACCGCCCGCAACCTCGCCTCGTTGCCGGACCACCCCCCGTCCTCCTCGCCATTCGCGTACTCGCCAAAGAGGGGCACGTGGGCGGTCTGGGCGAA